TACTCATCTACATGAAGCATTTTTAAGGCACCCAAACAAAATAAGATTACTTAAAATAGCATTAAATAATTCAAACTTCATGACTTCTTCAAATAGCAGGAACTTCTTACATAAAAAGATATAAAAGACAATCACATTCTAATTACCTATTGACATTCATGTGTGTGCTTTGCGAATAATATCATACATAAAACTCCAAATATGTACTACTCTATCATGTGCCTCACCTAAGATGTACATATTTGAGGTAAACATGAACAATCAGTCAGTAACTAGAGTACCTGGATAATTTTTTTAAAAAGTAGGAAGAAATGTACATTTAAAATAAAGCTAAACATTCAAGTTTTATACATTGACATATGACTGCAATGCTATAATTGTAGTATTAACAGCATTCTCTTAATACAAGACTAAAGATTGTTGGTCATGTGGCTGATTTTAAGAGGCAATGACTACCTCATCTCCATTCTATGAAATAAGAGACATGCATTCATTACCAAGATTCATTTCTATAACAGTTTTATTATCTATGAAAATATCTGTAATACTAAGTACCAGCCCAGAAAAGTTACACAAGCTCTTTAAAAACTTGATGAAGCTGAATTTTATTCTCAATGCAAAACAACAGTTTCACAGTCAACTATATTACTCTGTATGGATTGTGAACTCTAACGGATGCATCGAGATTTAATGCAAAGTCAAATTCATTGAGTGCTTACAAGAACCATCTTTCTAGTATTTGAAAATAGTTTAAATATCATAATTGCTATTAAATTCACACTAAGTTACTCCAACATCAAAAAACCCATGTGTTCTGCTTATATACTGTCAAATAAATTCTAAGTGAACCATTGGGAATTTCAATTGTAAAAGCAAATTTGTTTGAATAATGTCAAATAATGTCTCCAAATAATTATAGTAAGGTTTTCTTAATCATACACTCTTGTTTTTTACAATTATCTATTTAGCTATACTTGTGACTGAATAACAGTTAATTAATTGTTCCCCCCAATGAAACAAAATGTGATCCCGAAATCTGACAGTGTTCTTTTATGTAGGCAAGTAGGTTTAAAGGAGGCATCACTAGAATATATTGGTCTCTTTGCATATTTAGTAAGAGCAATTTGTCATTCAGTATATGACTGCTTGTACACTAGGAAGAATGCAGTAAGGAAGATCCAGTACGCAAAGAGTAAAAATTTTACACATAGGCTATCTGAATTTGCCATCTCTGGCATAAAAATTTCCAAGTTTTTTTGTAAACCAATGAAACAAAAAATGTCTTCAAAATCTTAAAAGAAGATATTTTTCCATAATTGGGGATCTTTGAATCATCATTTTCTTCATAATCGTCAAAAAAAAATGTCTTCATTACTAAGTTTCAAGTAAAAGGACAGAAAGAGAAATGTTGTACAGCCCTTTTCAAAGGCATCATTGCAACGATAAAAAGCTCACCTTACCTAATAGAAAAACAAAGGATCACGAGTTTTGTTGCACTATCCTCTAGCAGTTGAAGTGCACATAATTTCTCAACTTCTTTTCTGAGAAGACAACTTTGAATGTTTCAACAACTGACTAAAACAAATGATACTAATAGAGTTCTTATCATGAGTACTATTAAAAATGATTATATATACATATAGATATTGATCACTCATGTTTCTTCAGTGTGGATTGCACTGAACCATATCAAAAAGCAACTTCAAGGCAATATATTCGAGTTTCCAAAAATAAGAAATTTGAAATGATCAATTTTATATGAAATAACATAGAGAAGAGTACAAATTAAAGCATTCTAGTCAGGACACATACTCGTCACCACACAGTTGACAAAAAAAAAAAAAAGAAGTATGTTTACTATTCGGAAAAAATGCTAAAAGTATCATTACAATAATAGGTCTTCAACAGTATTTTATAAAATTATATCCATCAGAATGTGTTTACACTAAACTGAATGCATCCTTTTTCCCCTGTACTCTCCTCCCCCCTCACCTTTAGCTAGAGGAGGTAAGTCATGAATCCTGAGAAAGAATCCTCTTTAGGCAAGTCTACACTGGGAGCATCACTCCTCTTTTGAGGTATGTTTATATGATCTTCTCCTCCTTATGACAATTCTGCTCTTTCACTGCATTTCTTTTCTCTTAATGACCTTGTGTCTCACCCTCTTTATGCTAATATTCTGAACCTAGTGCCTATTTATACCCCTCAGTTCTCTTTTTACTGAATTAAAGTCACAGAAATATTATAGACATAAACAGTAACTTCAGATTGCATTTAAAGTAATAGATCACATAAACAATGTTATCTACAGTCATGATGCTTTTTTCATAAGCATCAAATTTTGCAATTTTATAAACACATTTATGAGGGTATTTGCATCAGTAAAATTTGCTCATGTTATTTTATCATTAATTAGATTCATTTATTAATTGTACTTTTTCTCTATCAAAAATTATAATGTATGTGCTATATGTATTTCTGTCTGGTAGTTTTCCTCATCTTTTTTGTGTATTGTATGCATAAAATATTTTTCATAATTTTCACAATTGTAGATTCTGATGCTGACAAGACAATTATTCAAAACATTATAAAATGTCATAGAATGCGCAAAGCATTGGGTCACAAATTATTTTCTCATATTTAATACTTTTCTATAACCGTTTTATATAAAATCAAGTAAAACTGTTAGATATGAACATTATAAGGAATAAATAAAGCTTAATCAGATGAAAACAGTAACCTGAAACATATTATAGCAGAGTCCCAAAAACAGTATAAAATTACCTGGATCAGGATACTAAGTAATTTATCACTTTTCTCTTTGGTATATCTCAGTAATTTAAGAAAAGTTCTTATTCATGAAAACAACCAAAATCACAATAAAAATGATAACCTGTTTACTTTTAGAGTGAAACCCATAAATATTTCTCAAGAATGAATGAAAGAATCAATTATTCACAAAGGAAAATAATACCTGTATAAAGTTTTTCACTTTAGGAATGACCATTTGGGGGAGGAATGGTCATTCCTAAAGAAAAGGGAAGAAGGAAGCCGAGAGATGGTGAAGGAGAAAGATGAAAATGGCTTTTCCTGTCTGCAGTTATTTGTCATGAGTATCTGAATATCAGTAAAGGAATCACATGGCTTCCATTAGAACTTCTAGTAGCTCACTGAGTTTGTATATTAGTAATATTCTTTGCAATCAAAATTAAATTTTTCGATTTTCTATAAAATACTTCTATTTTTAAAACCATAAGGAGGCTTTCACCCTTTGAGTTTTATAGCCATTAAGAAAATGTTCATCTTTAGAGTACTTCACCCTATACCTTACGAAAAGTTCATCTATAAGCCAGGTTTGTAAGCCTTACATGTGAATCAGGTGGGAGTTTCCATATGAACTGGTTTCTGTTCAGTTGCTTGCACACAGAAGAACGTTGCTCACAAGAACAAGAAAGGATTCTCTTGTAAGTTCTGTAGCACTGTTATTTATTGTACTAGTAAGCAACAGTTTGCCTATGCGTTGTCTGTACATTTCCGCTAAAGATAGCAATTTAGATTTTACAACTGACATGACAATGTAGTTGCAATTTCAGTCCACAAACCCAGAAATGTAATCATTTAAAGTCATATTGAGACTAGACCTCAGCAGAAGTTCTTTATAAAATGATAAACTATGTTACTGCTTTATAGCAAAGCTCTTTGCCCCCTTTTCCATCCGTGAATTGTGATTTCTCCATTTGTATATTAATCTCGTGTGTCAAATGATTACTTTCCTGAGATATTGCTAGACAAGAAATGGACTAAACATTGAGAAGCCTAACATATTTTTTAATGTTAAATTTCTCAAAGTAGTTTCTTTTCCTTTTCATTCAAAACATTAAGCCTAAGTGGCTTCGGAGTGCAAATGAACATTTAGTCTCCAATGTACTTCTAAACTGTGATATGGAGGGGATATACTTATGACCTGAGAAGCTGGCTATTACCGATTAAACAATCCTCTCTTAGGAGAAATGGGTTTCTTGCAACTGGTTTGTCTGCGGTGGAGGAGCTGGTGGATACTCTCAAAACAAAACAAAACAAAACAAAACAAAAGCCTCCTAACTTCAACACCAAGCTTCTGCCTAGTCTTAGCCCCAGCTTTTTATGCCCCACATTAACCTCTGCAGGTGGCCCAAAAGGGAGGATTCCAGGAGAATGGCATCTATCCTAGCCGTTTTGTAAAAAATAAGACTCATCTACTTTTCCGTGCACAAGGGAGCTTTACACAGCGGGCATGAGCATATGTCCTTACTCGAGGCACTTCTACAAGCCAGCGCGTGTACAGGCACACACACACACACACACACATGCGCTCTCTCTCTCTCTCTCTCTCTCTCTCTCTCTCTCTCTCTCTCACACACACACACACACACACACACACACACACACACACACCCCTCCACCATCACAGCACACGCATCCCATACACTTTCACAACAAACATACAGGATGGGGATCGAATCACCCTCTGGGATGGATTCTCGACTTCCGTCCCCCTGCAGCCCCTAAATGCTTTTTTCTCAGTTGCCAGCTTAGGAGCCCAGGTTACAGCTCAGCTAGCCCCCAACCACAACCCCAAGAAAGCCCTTGGTGTCCCTGTTCAGCAGAAAAACTGTCCGACCCGTACGGCCACAAAAGAACAGGAAAGAACATCAAATAAAGAAAATAACTACCACAAGGAGCCAAAAAGCCATGCAAGACATAGGCGAAAGGCTGTAAAGTTTCAGTGGAGGATTGCAGCTGAAGTTTGTGCGGGACTCTTTCAGACTGGAGTCCCACCACTGAGCGCAGCCTAGAAAGGACTGCCAACTAATGAGCCCTTCTAATCCTCTCTACCCCGCCGACAACAGTGCAAAGAAGCAGGACTTAGACTCTGTAGACAAAGTTGGATGAGAGTGATAAGACATGCAGAAGAGGGCAAAGGGGTAAGAAGCGAGAGAGTCAAGAAATGATTGTCTCACCTGGCATTTGTGCAATCGGTGAACAAAGTTTCGAAGTCTTTCCTGGTGATGAGTTTGCAGCGGTTCACCCCTGGCTGAATGGCCCCCAGCCCACGAAGGATTCGAACTTGCTCCACAGTACACACCACAGGGGATATGTCCAGTCTCTTCAGTTTAGTGTACACCGTGTGCAGCCCTCCCACCAGGTGCTTGAGGAAAAGATCAAAGACTTGCGGCAGGCAGATCAGTTCCTGGCCATCCATCAGGAATGAAGCCACCTTCACTCCGTGCATGTCGACCATCCGGCACTCGTTACTGTTGGTGTTGCTGCTGCCACCGCTGCCACCACCAATCCCGCCACCCCCGACACTGCCACTGTGGTTATTGGCCATGAAACTGTTGATCAGATTAGGGGTTAGACGCGGGGGCTCCCCTGGAGACGAATACAGAGGTTCAGCCCGGAATAAACCCCCCGGGACGCCGGCGCTGCTGGAAGTTGCAGAGATCATCGGAGGTGCAGAGACAGCCATGGTCACTCTGTCTGGAGCCTAGCTCTTAGGGCCCTCGCTTTCTCTCCCTGACTCCTCTAGGTCCCCTCGCACTCACTCACTGACTCTCTATATCTTTCTCAGGCACGTTCCCACTCTCAGAACAGTTTGGAAGTCAGAAGCAGGCTAGCGGCGGCTCCAGCTCATCCACCACCCTACACACACAGTGAGCTGCCTCGACCCGCGGCGGCCCTAGAGCCCACCCCCACCACACCCCCTCCCGAGACTGGCAGCGCCCCCCAGCCAATGGGCCCCACCCCCTCAGCGCCCGCGTGCGCCGAATGGCTGCCGCCAGCGAGGGGTGGAGACTCCCCAGCCAGCCCCTGCCTACCTGAGGCTGTGCCGGGCTTTCAGTAAATGGTAGTGGAGCACGAGAAGGGGGCGGTGTAGGACCTTCCCCGACCGCCTGGCTGTCTGAGCAGAGTCCGATTGTCATGCACAGGTCTCGAAGGGGACTAGGCTCCCAAGCAGTCCTCTCCGAAGTAGAGGATTGGGGGGGGGGGGGGTCACAAGCGGGACAAGAGCGTGTCTCCTTCACCCCACACCTCCAGCCATCCCGCACCGAGTTTGGTGGAGGAAAGTGACTTTGCTCTAATTCCAAGAGTACATTTCTCCCGAACTCAGCGGGGCGCAGAGGTGCCTCCACTCAACATCCAGGAGAAAGAGTTCAGTGAGTTCACAAGTGAACAACTCAGCCTTTCTCCTAGGCACCTCGCTCACTTGCAGTGATTTCGTCCTTATCCACCGCCCACAGGTCCGCTTCCCAGACTTCTCGCACTCCTTTCCTTTAAGAGTTGCTGGGCGCGACAACGCTGCTACTCAGGGGCTTTCAGGAAGCGCGGTGGGGAGCCTCAGCGGCAGATGGGAAGATTGTTTTACAGCTTCCGCCACTGTCCTGAAACAGACAAGGGTTTTGTTTTGTTTTGTGCGTCCGTGAGGGGGGCGGGGAGGGCGCTTATGTGAGTGTGTGTGTGCCCATACAAGCGTGCGCTCTTGTAGCGTAGTCTTGAAAGCATCTTGCTCTAAAGTTACCTAATGACTCAAAACCTTACATAGTTTATAGGGACAGTTGTTAACACTCTGGAACATGGCATTTTTTTTTCTCCCTCACAAACAGGATCAGAAGACCAGTGAGTGGCCCAGGCATTCCAAAGACTATATCTTAAATGGTAGTTCAGGATTCTTCCTCTACCTATCAAACGCTCTGCACTTAACAACAAGAACACACAGGAAATAAAAAGCCTGAGTAGGGTACATGCCTGAAGAAAAGCATTATCATTTCCACACAACATATCACAGTTAAGTCACCTTAGCCAAGTTGTTTGAATTCCTTGTCAAGGTTTGATTGAACTGACAAGTATTCCTTTCACTATCCTTTCCTGGAAAAGCTGGTATATACTGTGTTGAATTCAGGCTCCATTTGTTTACAAAAGTTGCCACCAACATAGCTACATAATTTTTCTGATTCTCTTTCAGAACATAAATACTTTTAGAAACTTGCTGTGTTTTATTAATGCTAATTGTACTTAACTAGTATCAAAGAGGGGGAGTAGGAGTGTTCCTTTTCCTCACTTCCTAAGTCAAAAATGCCCTAAGTAAGATATTTCGTCTCTATCTACAAGCTTGTATTACAAATGTTCTTTTGAATCTCTTCATAGTATCTTATTTCAAATTGAATGAGGTCAAAATGTGGAGAAGTAGTGATGATGGTGCCTTTTGGAATACAGGAATAAGCAACTCTAACAACAGATTGGAATATATTCAATCACAAATCATTTTTAAAGGCATGAAATTGTTTTGCTCACTTGCTACAGTCTTGAAAGGAAAATGAAAAGATATGAGGCATTGAGAAGATAGAGCAGAGGCTAAAAAGGTTTCCACATCAAAAATAGTATAACACCACTGACATATTTGTTAGTATTTATTAATTGTTACATTTTTTAAAAAATGTAAAATCTGTGCAAGAGGTATTTTGACATAATATCTATTAGCGATCTAGTGAAACAACTTACCTCTTGTGATATTGCAATAAAAATTTCCAGGAGAATAAATGCTATACAAAGTTTAATTTGATAAAACTCTAATTATACTGATGATCATAAGGGCAAGCAGCTCCCTGTTATACTGCTGCAACTACATTAGGAAGACTTTTATAGTCACTGGGAATGTTCAGCAACAGGACATTACAGAAATGTTTGACTATTTCATAATTAAGCAGTTATTAAATATAAAATAAAAACTGGAACAAGTTATAATCATTGCTTTTGTATTAGAAAACAGATACATTTTGATATTCAAAGAGAGGTTGTAAGAATTAAAAGTCATATATTTTCATGTTTTATGTTTGTATCAATGTTTTATAACCAGAAATTAATGCTAAAATTTTAGTAGAACTAACAGAACCTCAAATAGGCCAGTGATCATTGAAGGATTGGCAGTTCTTTCAAGCCTTAAATGGACAAAATACTCTTGGTTTCATTACTTGTATGTCTTCCCATTTCAGTCCTGTAGAAAATAAACATGGTCATTTCAAGTGATGATTGTAACTTAAAAAACATCGTGATCCAGACTCCAGATGCTGTGCCTCTGGGTTTCTTGATGCTTTGATAGCTTTATTTCTGTTACTACTATCTATGCTTTGAGACTGAGATAATCAGATTCCATATACAGAGTTTCATTTTATTCCCTTTTGATGTTACTACCTTCCTTCAGACAAACATATTTCTAAATAAGTCTGAGTTTTTACAAGACCTGAAGAAGTCTTACATATCAACACCTTGTAAGTTTGGAACTAAATGAAGAAGTATAAAATCATAAGGGCTGTAGTAAACAGAGTACCTTTGGGAGACGATATGAGCTGCATGAACAACAAGAAAATACTCAAGGTTTGTGAACTCATACCCGATAGAAGCTAGCCACTGAAGTAAATATGAATAAAATTAATTTAGGCAGATAGCATTTCATAAGGAAGAGTACTAGATGGCACTACTTCTAGAACAATGAATTTCATTATTTAACGTCCTAAAACAGAACAGCTACTGCTTCTTTACCTTAATTTGAAATTCACATTTTTATTCTAATTCATATTCAATTAGGAGAGGGTACTTATTTGTAAACATTAGCAAAATGTGCCATTTTTTGGCATAGCCTATAAAATGAAGATACCTCAATAAATGTAAATTTTAAAAGATGCATTTATCTTTACATGTTTGTCTGCCTATATGTACACCACCACCATATGCAGACCTGGTACCCAGAGAGGCCAGAAGAGGGCATTAAAGTCCCCTAAAACAAGACTTAAAGACAGTTGTAAGCTGCCATGTGGCTTCTGGAAATCCAGCCTGTGTCCTTTGCAAATCCTCCTAACTGCTGATCCGTTTCTCCGGGTCTATGTTTTTATTTATTACATGCTATTTCTTTAGTGTGTGTGTGTATTCAGAGTCAGTTCTTTCTTTCTGCCTTGTCAATCTCAGAGATCCAGCTCAAGTCCTCAGGCCCAACAAGTGCCTTAACCTTAACACATGTGCAATATATTTTGATCATATCCACCCCCCACTCCACTATCCAACTCCTACCAGACCACCACCACCACATCCCCCTGCCAACTCATGTCATCTTTTTTAACTCCTCTTACTACTACCCCCATCTACATGTGGATATAGGGCTGTACCCTAGAGAATGAAGACCTGTATTCCATATAAGAATTTTACACACACACACACACACACACACACGTGCTAGCTTGAATAGAACTGCAAAATATTCAGAACTATTTGAAGGGACTGGGTTTAAGAACACACATTTAAGCACATCCCAAGGAAATGATACTACTATTTGAAACCCACAGAGAAACTCTGTGGGTGTTCCCCACAGACACACTTAATCTATTCCCAGGATACTGGCTGCAAAATGATCATCTACTGTGCTCCTTTTCCACTTTCAGTTATAAGGTTATATTGAAGATGAATTCTAAGGAAGGCTAAAGTGGAAGAGATGGGACATTGGGACACGAAAAGAATTTGTTGAGTCTGGAGAATTCACTCAACAGTTAAGAGCAGTGGTTGTTCTTCCAGAGGACCTAATTCCCAGCATTCACATGACAACTCACAGCTATCTTCGACTCCAGTTCCAGGGGATCCGACATCCTCATGCAGACATACAATCAGGCAAAGCACCAATGCACATAAAAAAATAAGTAGATAATTTTTAAAATAAAGAAAAGAAATTGTCAAAATCAAGAGAATTAACAGCTAAAAATGAGAGGATTAAAGGAAAAATGATTGTTTTCTAACTGAAATACAAAAAATTCTTTTAAAGTACTCACAAAGTACAGGTCTATGTTTTGTTGATATTTATGGGAGACCTGCCTTTTCTTAAGCAGAAACAGAGAAGCAGTTTGGAGCTTGGGAACAGAGAGAGGTTAGGAGGAGGTACAGGTAGGAGAGGAGGGAGGGGAAATTGCACTCAGGTTGTAAAATAAATAAATTTATAAAAATACAGATCTTTTCTATCCTTTAATATAATATACTTTGTACTACACTGTCTAGGCGTAATAGACAGTGTAATATAAGGTATCATAGTTAAAGAATTTCATCAGGTCCAAATGGATAAAAGACATCAACATTAATCCGACCACTTTGAACCTGATAGAAGAGAAAGTGGGAAGTAGTCTACAAGATATAGGCACAGGAGACCACTTCCTAAGCAGAACCCCAGGAGCGCAGACAATAAGAGAAACAATAAATAAATGGGACCTACTGAAACTGAGAAGCTTCTGTAAAGCAAAGGACACTGTCAGTAAGACAAAAAGGCTACCTTCTGACTGGGAAAAGATCTTCACAAACCCTGCAACAGATAAAGGTCTGATCTCCAAAATATACAAAGAACTCAAGAAACTAGACACTAAAACTCTAATTAACCCAATTAAAAAATGGGGTACTGATCTGAACAGAGAATTCACTACAGATGAACTTCGAAGGGCTAAAAAGCACTTAAGGTCATGCTCAACCTCCTTAGCAATCAGGGAAATGCAAATCAAAACAACTTTGAGATATCATCTTACACCTGTCAGAATAGCCAAACTCAAAAACACCAATGATAGCCTATGCTGGAGAGGATGTGGAATGAGGGGAACACTCATCCATTGTTGGT